CTACCACACCTACTCCCTCGACAGCTACTACAACTGCAAGTCCTGTCACCCCTACCACACCTACTCCCTCGACAACTCCCATCGCTGCCACACCTACTACCGATGTTTCTTCAGTGACTTCTAACCATGTCACTTCATCAAAGACCAGCAGCCCAACTCCTGAGAGCAAAGGTAAGAGTGACTCCCTCAAAGGTGCCTCACTGAGGAGTCATAGCATTGTGGAGGACAGTAGGCAAAAATATTCTGCTGGGGTAAGGAAGTGGGTATAAAGAAACTCAAGTTTTCCTTGGATATGAACCCTTGTAATTAAAAAATCTGAGTCACAAAGGCTAATGGTGATGGCAGAGACCCTAAAAAATTACCCAGAGTTCCATTCTGTTCCCCTTTCCTTCCTGCCCATCCTACCTCAAGCTACTTGCCAGATGTGAAATATTTTGTGAACTTGGACTTTATGAAAGCTACTTCTCCACCTGTTCTCTCCCTAGGAGGTTTTTTGGAAATAGTTTCAGCTTGTCTGTGAAGACCAGGTCCAAATAAGCACCAACTGTTTAGCCCCACTGGTCTAGCTCCTTTACCTAAGGAAGGAGTAAGTTTTATCCTGGCTCCTTACCAGGTGTGATTGAAAAATAGGACACGTTTTGATGGTGGCTGGTCACAATTTGGAGTTGGAGCCAATTTTTGGAATTTGAGCCTGAGAGATAAAAAGCCAAACAACAGCAGTGCTCAAACAGTCCTAGACATGACCTGGGCCATTGTCTAAATGACAAATATTCTGGGGATACTAAGAGATGACAGTTGACCTCAAGCCAAAGTTGTTGAAACAAACCATTTGACTCATTTCTCAAAGCTTGGTCTAGAATAGGGGTCAACAAACTTATCAATAAAGGCAAACTAGTAAACATGTTAGGTTTTGTGGGCCACTATAGAGTCTCTCTTACAACTACTCCACTCTGCCATTTTAACATAAAAGCAGTCATAGTCAATATATAAATGAATGAACCTAGCTGTGTACTCATAAAACTGAATTTATAAAAACAGAATATTGACCAGATTTGGCTCATGAGTCATAGTTTGCCAATTCCTGGTCTAAAAGAATCCTCAAACCTAGGCTTGAAGGGTCTAGATAAACCCTGTCATTCTCACATAGGGGCATGGAGGCCCAGCAAGCCCAGCAACATGCCCAAGGTCAAAGAGCAAGTTGATGTCTCCCTACACTTATGTCTTGTGGCTTCCTCAATGTTCTTTGATAGATCTAAAAAGTGGATAGTTAAGCAAATAGAGCCAGAGCCTGTATCTAAGACCTGGGTCCTAGCTTTTCATGTTGGGAGGGGCCACTCTGAAGGCTAGGTCAAGCAGGACACAACTACATAATCAGCCCTCCTGGAATCAGGGAAGAGAGCTTTCTAACTCATTTCTTTTTTTCTTTTTCTTCATAAGGTATTTTTATTTCTTTATTATTGTTATTATTTTAATTATTATTTTTTATTGTGAAATGCACATTTTTTAGAATTAGTTTCAGCTGTACAACACAGTGCAATAGTTATACTTTTTACCCCTCGAGGTGAGAACCGCCCTCCCCCAATCCACTGCCCCACTCCCCTCCCCCAATATCATACATATCTATTACAATTCCCTTAACTCCAAAAAATATGGAATGCTTCACGAATTTGTGTGTCATCCTTGCGCAGGGGCCATGCTATCTTCTCTGTATCATTCCAGTTTTTTAGTATATGTGCTGCTGAAGTGAGCTCTCTAACTCATTCCTGCTTCCCCAGACACTCTGTTCTGGCTCTCTCACTAACTGTGGGGGATGGGGCAAGCCACCTTGTTCTGGCTTTCAGCTTACTCATCTGTATTAAGGTGTAACTGAACCAAATAGCCACCCAAACCTTCCAGCTGAAACATCCCCTGACTTTATTCCTGACACAAAGAACAAGTTGTCTGTCCTTTATTGCCAGAGAGGAAGCATTCCAGGAGTTATTTGTCTGGTGGATCCAAACTGGAGCTGCACTGTTTCTTCCCTACGATTTCCTATATCATCTTTGCAATGTGACTGAGGCTTTTTAAAAAAGCGCCATTTACTTCACTTAGCATATTGGCTCACACTTTGTCAGAGGGGTGACCCTTACTGTTGTTTATGAGTTACTGCACAATGCCTCCCTTTGGTCCCATGAAGCATTTTTTTAGCTGTTTAAAATAATATTTTAAAGTAGACTTTATTTTTTTAGTGCAGTTTGAGATCCACAGCAAAATCGAGAGGAAGGTACAGGGGTTTCTCATATACCCCCGAAGTTACATATGCATAGCCTCAGTCATTACCAACATCTCTCATCCAAGGGTACATTTGTTACAAGTGATGACACATCATAATCACGCATAGTCCACAGTTTACATCAGGGTTTACTGGGGGTGTCGGTACATTCTATGAGTTTTGGAAAATGGTATTCATGTATCTATCATTATAGTATCACATAGAATATTTCCACTGCCCTAAAAATCTTCTGTGCCCCACCTGTTCATCCTTGTCTTGCCCCAATCCCTGGCGATGACTGATTATTTTACTGTCTCAGAGTTTTGCCTTTTCCAGAATGTCATGTAGTTGGAATCACACAATATGTAGCCTCCTCACATTGGCTTCTTTCACTTAGCAATATGCATTTAAGTTACCTTCATATCTTTTCGTGGCCCGATTATGATTCAGTGCTGAAAAGCACTGAATAATGTTCTGTCATTCGTGTAACACAGTTTGTTTATCCATTCACCTACTAAAGGACATCTTAGTTGCTTTCAAGTTTTGGCAATTATAAATGAAGCTGTTACAAATATTTGCGTGTAGGTTTTTGAATGGACGTAAATTTTCAACTCCTTTGGGTAAATACCAAGGAGTGTGATTGCTAGATCCTATGGTAAGGATGTGTTTACTTTATAAGAAATCCCCAAACTGTCTTCCAAAATGGCTGCCATTTTCCATTCCCACCAGCTATGTGGCTCCGTATTCTCATCAGCACTATTTTATTTTATATTTTTAAATAAAACTAAATCAGGTCCATAGTTATGGAAAAAGAAGCTTAAACAGAGGAAAAGTATATGCAGTAAAAACTAAATCTTCCTCCCATCCTAAATCCCTAAGACCCAGACTGCCAGTTTCCTTCCCCAGGGGCCAGTACTGTGGCCAGTTTCTTGCATCTCCCTCCAGAGATAATATAAACATACATATTTGTGTATTTGTGTATATTCCCCCCTTTTTTAATCACAAAAGAGAGCATGTTATATACATTGTACCTTATATGTATTTTTTAATCTATTTCTATCTATAGGTTCATAAGCATTCAGACAGCTCTGAAGGTTGTCAGACATTTAATTTATTCAGAAATCAAAGCTCAGAATCATTTCATTTGTCAGAGATGAAGAAAATGGCCAGCCAACATCACCCTTTGGCCACTGACCTAACTTTCCTCCCTGGATCCCATCAGGTCTCTAGAGATAGGACAGATACTGCACCCCACCTGGGCTGGGCATCCTGCCCAGTGGTGTGGGAACAATTGCAATATTATTCTCACCATTTATTCAAGTTGTTCACTCAGAAAGCCAGAGTAGAGTGTCCTTTCCTCAATTCCTCTTAGAATTTTCACTGAATTAATCTACACTCTCCCTTTAACATCTCTTTCTTTTCTTCATGAATCTGTATACCACATATGCTAACTAGAATATAACCTCTAGTTTCTTTTTGGAGTTTCTTGCCTGTTCCTCCCTATAAGACAGTTATTTATACCTTCCTAAACATGTGCTGCTTTCTCTAAAATGGTTCTGGGGAGCTCTATCTAGTGTTAGAGGATCAGACATCAAGGTTCCGGAGGCTCCTTAGGATCCAAAGGTTCCTGACTCCTTGAAATTAGAAGACTGCTCTGAGCAGACTCTTCCCCACCAACCTCTGACCTTTACTGTTGACAAGCACTTGGTTCCAGAATTTCAGCAACAAACTCCCTAGATACACAAGAAAATATGTACTTGTTTCTAGCTCTTCTAAGCATGTGCCCTGGAATAATACAACCAAGGAATAGAAAGTGCCCCAGGAGGGAGGCGTGAAAATGTAAAAGTTATGTTTCTGGGTGTTATTTGTTGTTCTGTTTTCATCTTTTTCTGCTCTACCTCAGGTCCTTGCCAAAAATATTCCTGTAGCGATGGCTCTTCGTGTGTTGACCTGAATAAGACACATATTTGCCTGTGTATAGATGGATATTACTATAATTCTTCCAAATGCAATAAAGGTGAGTTACAAAGGATGAGCCATGCAGAGCTGCATCTAATACCTAAAGTGGAATTGAAAACTTAAAATAATGGCAAAAAGAGCTTCCAGAATACTAGAGGTAGAGGAAAATTTGGAGGTAACAAAGGCCAGCAAAAGAGAAAAATGGCTTTTGCCTTTGTCTCAGTGGAGCCAAATGTGATAGGAAATTGGCCAAGTCAGATATGTAAGCTAGTCCTGAAGGAATGGGAGTGGATGTGTCCCTTCACTTTATCTGTTAAAGGGAACGATGCCACAAGGACAAAATGAGAATGATAGACGTCGAAGGTCCTGGAAAAGTACAAAGACTGCACAAATACAAAGCAGTGCTATTACATAGGGACAATGACGTAGAATAAGGGGATATGCCTAAGACCACATGGTTAGACAAGTCTGGGAGCCTGGGCTTCTAACCTTGGTTCAGTTCTGTCATAAGATTTGCTTGCTCCATAACAACAAACCCCATTTTTAAAAACTTAAGAGCCTCTCAGCTCTAGAAATGGACTTTTGGAGTAAATTGCCATAAACTTGACATACTACTTTTTTGGTTAGATCAGTTGGGTGCTATCAAGGTCCAAGTCTGTTTCCTGTGTTATAAATTATTATCTGTTTCATGAATGAGAAATATCCCCACTTGCCAGAGTAGATCAATTGTATAGGAAACAAATGTATATTATTGTCCACAGGGATTAGAGATATTTCAAAAGCCAAAATGGTGTTCTTATTTTTAGCACTAATAATCTCATTTCTGGGGATCCACTCTAAGTAAATGGCCCCCAATATAGAAATGCTTAGGCATGAAGATGTTCATTGCAGCCTCCCCCCCCCCACCTTTTAAATAATTAAAAGTGCTAAAAGCAAAAAAAGGACTACATCAATGAAGGAAATATATATATATGTCATAGAATATTATGCAGCTTTTAAAAATGATAGTTATGAAGACTATCCCAAACCATGATAGGTAATGGCTTGGGAAAATACTTATTATGTAATAATAAGTAAAGAAGATTCATATATAAACTTGGAATTATAATGATATAAACTTGGCATAGGAAAAAAGGAGCTGGGAGACATACAAGTTTCCCCCACTAACTGAAAATAGACCATTCCTGTGAAACCTTTTGTAAGCTGAAACGTTTTGTAAGCTGAAATGGTATAACGTGAAGCAGCAATTACCTTAGGACACATCGTGCTAACAGATGCACAAAATAAATCTAGATAAGGCACAGGTGCTCACAAGCAGAATTCAAAGCTATGGTGGCTTAATGCCGAGACGCTGGGTGTGGTTCCTGGGAAAGGAGCTGGCGGGACCACTCTCACTGCTCAGGGTGTGCTGCCTCGATAACAGCTCGCTGCAAAACAAACGCTGAATGCTGTTTTCAATTTTCACCTTTTTTCATAAAACCAAAAACTCTCTTCAGGTGTCTTTTAATTAGCAAAAACAGGTAGTAATGTAGGTCTTTTGTAAAAGTGAAGTGGCATAAAGCAAGCTTTTGAAAAGTGGGGGATCCCTTATACCAAAATAAAAATGGTGGTGTTAGGTTGGGTAGGATTTTGGATAACATTTTTCATATTTCCAGGCTCCCTGTAGTATCATCCTATATTGTTTAGAATTTTTAAAATGTATGTTTTAAACAAAATGAAAAGGACCCTCTTTCCATTGAAACATTACAGAAAGATTCTGCTTGAATTTCAGGAAAGACATTCCCTGGAATAATTACAGTAACCGTAACAGACACAACTGACTTGAAAAATACAATGTCTAAAGCCTATGAAGAACTACATACAAAAGTTATTGGATTTGTAAGTATCTTCCAACCTTCCTTTATGTACAAGCGTTCTTCATTCTAACACCAAGTTGCAGAGCATAGGGCTGGAAATTCAGGTGGTCCATGCTGGTATAGCTGTTCCAGCTGTTCAAGTAGTGAAATACACCCTTACTGGTTGGCAAACAGCAGCTGTCCTGAGAGCCCTGGGTGCCACTACTGCCCGGTGGCCCAAGCCCCTCCCCTGGGATCCCTGGCTCCTGCACCTCTAAGTGACGCCGGTCTCAGCAGAGGTCCTTAAGAAGCTTCCCCCAGCCACGCCATACTCGTTGTTATATAAGCTACCATAATATTTTTAAACGGACAGGTAAATATAATGATGTTCTAAAATAAATTATTTCCACAGAACTAAAGAGAAAAAATTTTAAAGATTTTTTTTTCTTTTGACATTCCAACTTGCATATATTTCTGTACTAGTATGACTTCTTTCTTAAGGTCTGGAAGAGGAATTCCATCTGAATTGACATCTGTTACTTTTCTTCCCCTATTGTCAAAACTGTCAAAATGAACAACTTCATTTCATTTTGATTATTGTGTGTGAGTGGGTCAGCACGAGATCTCCATTCTAAAACCACAGATGATTGACATGGAAGGACTTGTGGAGGGCACCCAGCCAATGCTTCTCAAAGTTTAATAAGACTTTAAAACCTAAAGTCTTATTCTATGATAATGTCTTTTAACTCAGAATTATATCATTACAAAAGAGTTTTGTTATTGGAATTGGTAAAATGTAAAAAATGATCATCCAAATGATTTTACAGATTGTACTGACAGAACTAGTGCCGATGATGGAACAGCTGGTGCCTGGCACTGCTGGGATAAACAACATGGCTGCCGTTTCCCAGGACTTGTCCTGGCCCCTTTGTCATACCACCTGTGCACGATGGGCCAGCTGGCCATGACGTCTTCTCTTATCCTGGATCTGTGTTCCTATTTGCCAGCTTCGATGATAAATAATCAGTACATTGAAGAAGGCAACCTCAATATGTTCCTATTTCCAGGGAGCCCCTTTGTTGTCTCGTATGGCTTTCCTGAGCACTGGCCACCGTGGCCACTACTTTTCCCAAATTTGCTTTGGGTCTGAGTGTCCCAAAGCCCCCACCAGCTAAAAGGGTCTTCAGAGACCCTTTTAGAGACTTGATCTCAGTCAGGCCTTGATGGTCCCAGGGGGACCAGGGAGGGGATAGAGCATCCTTATAATTTCTAAGAGACTGTTTATCCAAAAGGGATATGCCAGAACTCCCTTGCAACTCCTAGAGATAGGAAAATAGAGACTGTTCGTTTCCTTCAAGGTCCTCTTAGCAGACTTTGTAGCTGGAGCAGTCCCAGTTCAGGCCTTGAGAACTCTCCCAGGGTCCATTTTCTACACAGCTAGATCCAAATGGATAGTCCGCAGAGGGATTTGGAGTTCCCTTTTTGCATGCTGTGCCTGACATTTTATGTGTAATGTTTCTAATTCTCCAAATAGCCCCATGGGGAAGATAATACTAGGGTGCCTGTTTTGTGGATGAGGCAGTCGGAGGTCAAGAAAGTGGAGTAACTGACTGAAGGCCACCTAGCTGATGAGGGAGGAGGTTGGATTTCAACCCGGATCCGCCTGACCACAGAGCTGCTTCACCTCCTCACCACCTGGCTCTGCTGCGCAGTGGAGGCCGGGCAGGCCTGCTCGGATAACACCTACCTTCTTGCCCAGCCTTACTTATAACTTTTCAGACTTAGAAATGTTGGATATCCCAACATTCTCAATGGTGACCCAGAAGAGAGAGGAAAAAAAAAAAAGGAAACACTTTCTTCTATGCCAGATGCTAATTTCACAATCTCTTCTTTGAAATTAAGACAATTAAATGGGCAGTGGTCATTAGGGGAGCTGAAGGGACCTTGGAGGTTGTCCAGGGAACTTGTTTCTAAATTGATTCCCAGTGACCTGATGGTTTACAGAAACACCAGCTATTCCTAATATTTAAAAGAATTAAAAGGAATTTGGACATATTCTGGATATAAGGCTACCCAGACTAACAAGAGCATTAAATTTATTTGAATTTGGCTAGAATAAAAGAGAAATTATTTAACATCTTTTTATGTGACATTGGTTGCCATGGTCTTTTAAAATGTGGGGTCCCCAGGGGGAGAAAAATAACAAAAAAAATCATGGATTGTAAAAAGGTTGCACCAACCCAGTTCAACACTCATACAATAAATATGGAGACTGGTGCCCAATGAGGGGAAGACATGTCCAAGGTCATGTCTTTCACATTTAAAATTCATTCATTCATCAGTCAAACCACGTTTATTGATGTTTTCCTGGGGGTTGCCCTATGCTGAGGGCTGTAGGGTGGGAGTGGAGGAGGTTGTGTCATAAGAAAGAAAAACACAAATCCTATTCTTGGTATCAAAGAACTTATGTTCTAACAGGGACCTTCAGCCCACCTCCACCTCACCCCTGCCAGAAGTCCCAGCTTTATCTCTGGCTACTTCTCTACACCTATCTAGAGTTGTCCCTGCTCTTAGAACACAACTAAAGCCTAATAAGATCCATCTGCTCTGGAGCCCCTTCCAGCACACAAAGCTGTGTATCATATATTCCATCTCATTTTATACACATTATAGCCCTCCATGGTAGAAATTACTGCTATCTCAAGCTTTCCAGTGAGCAAAGTAAGGTTCAAAGAAAAATTATGCAAATTATGGAAGAGACGTTCTTTGAACTGCCCTGGTAGATCCTATCACCCTATGGCACTTACCTGTCTCGATCTCATGCTGTAGTCCCCTATTTGATCACAGGGCTGGGTCTGCCCATTTTTTAAATCTCTTAGTACCCTGGCATAATTCCTTGAGCAAGGTAGGCAATGAAAGAAATAAATGTTCCTTGGGTAAATTGATGCATGCATGAAACATGCACATAGAGAAGTCTAACAAAAATGTGGAGCTTTATCATACTTTGAAAAGACAAACTTAATATGTTAGTCACCTCAAGTTTTAAGAATATGATCATTAATTTGGCTAAGTATTTGAGGTTTCCACCTTTTTCTTGGATAATGCTGACGTATATCAAAATCTTACTGTTTTACAGCAAAAATTACTGAAAGGTATTATTAGAGAGCATGTCAAAAATAAATAACTTGCTGTGATGAACTATGTATATTTATATACAGTTTAGAAATGTATTTATGTTAAAACCTAGGCACAGTGTCACGTTTCCCCCCTCTTTGTAGTTGTTATTAAATCTGTTCTTCTCCCCCACAGTTTCAAGATGTATTTGTCAATTTGGATTATGGACAAACTGTAATCCATAATGTAAGGTAAGTTTGCTATGTACTGATGGGGTACTTTGGAGGCAGGTGTGCATTTGCCTAATTTCTGGTCTTCTCTTGAGTCTCCTGTGCATCACAAAGGCCCTCCAGTGGGAAGTCACAGGCCAAGAAGAGGTATCAGTCTGATGTCACACATACCTTGGCCTGGATGGACAGAGTGTAGTCTGGGGATGGCAAGACGTTGTCTGTGATTAGCTATTCAATAATCTGCACACATGGTCCAGTGCATCCCCTGGATCAGTTTGTTTGGTTTGATTCCTTGGCTTCAAAACACACATGGTCGGTCCCTGGAATGTACATTTCAGGGGGCCAAGAGGGGAATAAGTGGCTCATGGCCATCTCTTCCCTCATCTTGGGGCAGTGAGGGAGATAAGAACACCCAAGTCTCACACCGGGCTATTGAAGGGCCAGTAGCAAGTTCTATCTGCAGTAAGAACAAGCATTTATTGAGTATATCAATATGCAATGACCAGGGCTGAGTGCCATTTAGGGACCAAAGAGGCAAAAGATTCTCAAGAAGTCAGTGATTCCATTTCGGCCAACTGCTGCAGTCTGAGGAAAGAGTGCTTTAAGATGAAGGAAGCTGTGCAGAAAAGGCAACCCTGGTGTATTCATATTTTATGGGTTTTGTTATTGCATCTATCTTTATAAGCTTAGTTAAATTCTTTGTGGAATAAGATACAATAAATATTTATACCTATAAATTCAGAGAAGGTCTCCTGTAGGTGAGTTTTGAGATTGGTGGTTCATGAGAAGCAAGTGTGATTGGCAGCCAGGTGACCAGCAGGCAGATTAAAGGGAGGCACAGGTCCCACAAAGTGAGGGGCAGGCAGCAGGCAGAGAGGCTGGGCCCCAACCCCGAGGCTCTGAAGCTGCGGTTCACAGTAGACAGTTGCTGGAGGGCTAGGCATTGTTTCCGGACATTCACTTTGGGTTAGGGGGCGACAGGGGGCTCATGCATTGAGCACGACTGCATGAAACAGGAACAGTGAGGAGTGATGGCTTCAGCCAAATCTGTACCTGGGTTTGGCACTCCCTCCTGCATGAATGGGCAGGAGTTTTAACCTCTCTGAACTTTTGTTACCTCATCTGTATATCTGGGATAATCTGGTCAACTTTCCTGGAACCTTGGAAGGTATAAATGCGATAACATTTGAAAGATCCCCTGCACACAGTGCCTGGCACATAGATGATTTCAACATGTGCCAGTTCCCATCTTGTTTGCCTTCCAGAACATGGGACCCTACAAGTGTGAGGGAGAGCTGTTTCCACAAGGTCGTCTCTGACACCGCAGCGCTTCTTTCATTCTTACAGAGTTACTTAAAGGAGCCAGGGGTGTTTGGAGACAACCTTTCACCTGTGAGCTCAGTATCCTGGCAAGAAACTAGATCCCCCATGGGGGCCATGGCAAGGCGAACGGACCTTTGTCTCACCTAGAAGACATTTCTTAGGCTCCAGTCTAATGCTTTCTCCTTTGAATCCCCACGATCTTTATCAACTGTACAAATGTTGAAGTTGGAAGGATACTCAGAATTTCTCGAACTCTCAAATCTCTCTTTGGACAGAGGTGGAAACTCAGGCTCAGAGAAGCTGTGACTGGTCTTGGGCCACAAAAGATGGTGGCGATCTTGGGTCTATATCTCAGGTCTCTTAACTCCAAGTTTAGTGCTCTAGCCATTTATACTGTACCTTTTTGTGTCACTTAAGTACACAGTGGCTCCCTTAATTCATGAGTATAATGTTTTGCCTTCTAAATTGGAGTGTAAGTTAGTAGATTCTTTGAATGAATTAATATGGATGGCATTTCTTTCCTAGCCTCACTGCAAAATTACACCATGGTTCTGGTCACTTTGTAGCTGATAAAGAATAACTTGTATCAAGAACCCCTTTCTCACTGCCCTCTACCTTCCTTGCCACCTCTGAATCCTATCATGAATGAATCATGGGAGACAATTTAAAAATGAGAATGCTGAAGCCATTTTGTTTTTTGGGACTCTCTTTTGAGGTGATGGTTCCTAAAAACAGAATTTGGTTAAGGTTTTGGATTATCTTGGTTGTTCTGAAAAACCAACATGGCTGTAAACATTTCCTAAGTAGGCTGGCTATGTTTTCAAGCTTCTGTATGTAGTCAGACATCAAAATGGAGTAGACAAAAAATAAAAAAACTGGACAGGAAAAATATATCCTGAGTCTTAAAAACACACAGCCACCAATCAAATAGGGAGGGAATTTTTAAAAGTCCTTTTGTTTCTCTCTCAGTGGTTGTATCACTTGATTTGTTTTGGGCAACAATAGAATTGGAACTCGGCCCAACTGTTCTCAGGGCTGCAAACTGTAGTGCTGATTAGAGAGAGAGATTCTTACAAGGTCTTGTTCATAGCAGACACTCACTATTTGGTGATATGATTTGGTATTCTATGCTCATATTTCCCACAGCCCCATCTCTCCCTGTGTCGGTTCTCCTCTGGGTCATGTGTACCCAGGCCCAGTCACATACCCACTTTGCCTGCTGACTCCCTTGGCCTTTTCTGAGAATGACCCCGACTCTGTGTTTGATAACTGTTTTCTCTGTGCGCAGGGAGAAACACATGCCTCTCTGTCTCTCTTAAGTTTTTAACAGCTCAGCAAGAGGCTGATTCTTGATTTTCTACAGAAAATGACAACTTACTATTTTGGATATTACTTGTTCTACTTCTGGTTAGTCCCAGGCTCCATGATCCTAAAAATGATTGTTCACAATTTTTCTGAGTATCCTCCAACGGGATATTGTTTTAGCCTTAGATTTCCTCTGAACACACATTGAATCGAGATCTCCAGGCCTATCAATTGCTGTCTTATTGAAGCCCCAGGCCTCCATATTGGGGCCCCAATTGTGGATATAGGACTGTGGGCCAGAGCTAGAACTGGGCGACTTGGGAGTCTGGCAGGTTTAAAGACCAATTTGTTGATGCTTGTGTTCAATTCACCAAATGATGGGTTCATTTCGTTTTTAGAATACCTCCTTCAGCAAGATCTGAAATGCGTGCTGATGGCAAGGATGTCAGTGTAACAGTAGTAAACCTTTTTGCAGAAAACACTGCAGAAAATGAGATGACTGTATCTCGTGCAATTGAAAAAGCAATTAACAGCAGCTCTTCTGTCATTACAGGATATGTTGGTAAGTAGTAAATAATTTTATTCAAAGTTTACCTAAAGACTTACCTACCTTTTTCTAAACTTTTCCATTGTATGTGAGAAGGGGGAAAGAAGAACTGGGTGACTGAATCGACTGATGTCTCCAAGTTTCCTTTTAACCAGTCCATTCTTCCTCCCTTTCTTCTCTCACTTGGCTTCTACTCTTCTTCCAACGATCTCCCAAGTCATCAAACTGACAGGTTGGTTCTCTTTTTGGAAGGCAGTCTTGGACAAATAGTCTCTGGACAAGGAAAGGTGAAGCAAGGTGAAACAAGAGGGCTTTATACCAAGCTATAGCCCAAACAATTAGAGGAAGTTTTACCTATCCTGCTTCCCCGTTAGGCCAACACACACTTCCATGGCATAGTTATAACAATTCATTTTTGCTGTTACAAACCACCCCAAAACTTAGCAGTCTAAAACAACAACCACTTATTTATTGCAATGCCATCATTCCATGGATCAGAATCTGGGCTGGGCTCAGCTGGGCAGTTCTGCTGATCTAGGCTGGGCTTGGCTGATCTCTGCTGGGCTCACTTAAGCAATTGCTGTTAGCTGCTGGGTAGGTCAGCTGGGGACTGACTGATCTAAGATGGTTCAGCTGATTGGTTTGTCTCTGCTCCATATGGTCTCTCATTCTCCAGTGGGCTAGTCCTAAAGGGTTTCAAGAGCAGCAAGAGGGTAAGTTTCAAAGCATAGGTATTTCTCAAGTCTCTGCTTATGTCATATTTACAACTGTCCTGATGGCCAAAACAATTCACATGACCAAGCACAGTGTGGCAGGCACTGCCAAAGGGCATGGATACAGGAAGGCATGAATAAATGGACACTATTACTATAATCAACCCATTACGGCATTCATCGGAAGTTCCTCATCTCAGAGATACCTGCTAGGGCCAGCTCTGGTGGAAGCTTTGTGCAACTGGTTCTCAGTCCTGGTTGCCAAACCCAAATGCCCCTGTTAAGGCACAATTGACCTGACTTTTCTGTAGCATCTGACACTGGTACCCCTCCCTTTCTGAAGTCCTCTTTTCCCCGGGACTCCACCCACCATTCTCGTCATCCCCTTCCTCCCTCCCTCATTCTTTTTTCCTTTTTTTTTGATCCTTCTAAGACTCCTTCTTTAGTCTCTTAAATTTTTGCTTTTTAATGATTGTAACCTCATTGGCCTAGTGTGCAAAACTTATATCTCTTTCTGAAAATATAAACAAATCCTGTTCATTTATGGTTCTTCAGCACCTTTTCTCTTTCTTCAAGAATACACAAAGATTCTCACTATTCCCGCAGGACCTGGAATGTAAATGCTGTATGATAAAACACTTAAAATTCTATCAGAAAAGATGGGGACTCCCCTGTACTCTTCCCTTTCCTTGGGCTGCAGTCACGTTAGCCATGGCCATTCAACTCTTTTCTATCTAAGTATTATTTCCTGACAGAAAGGACTGGAGAAAAATAGGTGTGGAGCCGTTCTGTCTTTCTCATGTTATCCATCAACATTACACGGACCAGGCCTGGCCTTTTCATGAGCCCCTATAGCATGGAAACACACACACACACACACACACACACACACACACACACACACATCCATTTGTTTGCCCACTTTTCCATTTTAACTCTTTGCTCTTTGTTGTTGGATTTTTGTTGTTGTGATTTTGAGTTTTGTTTGTAGCAACCCTGAGCTCATTTGGTGCTCTAGACTTTGTCACATTTTCAATATTCTGTCATTGGTTTTGGGACTTTCTTTCCATATTTTGTATATGCCTTTCACCTGACAGCTTTCCCTACAAACCATGCCAGTTTCTTAAATTACCTGACCCTCTCCCCCACTTTTTTTTCATTGCTTATTTAGCAGCTGCACAGTTAGAATTACATTTTCAGAGCTTCTGATATTCTTGAACTATTTCCAGAGTCTCATGCCACATAATTACACCTTTTCCTTTCTGAACATTTCCATATATACTCCATCAAAGTCATACTCCTCTCTCTGGCTATCACTTAGTCCTTATCTTCCAAGGGACCCATCACTTCTACTTGCCAATCAGTTTCTCTTTGGGTCAGAATTTGGTGCAGAGTAGCAATTCATGCAGGCAGAACCTGTACTCCCTGGAAGATGAAATTGTCAGCAAGGCAAGACAAACCTTATCACACACTGCTCTTTGGCTAGATGGGACTTCTAGCAAGTGTGAGGAAATTGAGGGTCCACATGAGCATGGAGACTGACCACTCCGAGTGGTTGCCCGCTGAAGATAACTAGTGCATTCTTCAAGACAAAGTTGCAGTCCCCTATGCAATTCTCTCATTTAGGCTCTCCTTAGTAATTGCCTTGGCTATAAGCCCGGCATACTTGAAGCCATTTGGTCTCAGCGCTGAGAATTGCTCTTCTCAATATCTGACAACTTCTCTCAACATCGCTCTACTCTGAGACCAGGCATGCGCTCTTAAATACATTAATAAGTTACCAAATGGTACCAGCTAGAGGTGTCCACAAGAGCACGAACTGCCCAGCAAATGAAGGGAGAGGCTCAGAACTTTTAGAGAGAAACACCTTTTCCTGCTTACCTGCTTTTGCTGCAAAGACAGATTCTTTCTTCTGTGTCAAAAGTTGTAGACTCTCTTTCTCTAGACTTTTAACAGGAGGCATTTTTAAATGGTAGGTGATGAAGGAAAGTTTGTTATAAGTCTGGGGTGTTTAGGAGAGAGTAGCCACATAATTGTTCTACCTTCTCCTATTCTCTCTCCCTCTCGTCTAGTCTTAGATTCATCTTTTTGTTCCTAATGCCTTCCAACCTAACTAGATTACCATTCTTTTTAAAATTTATTTTTCAATTACAGTTGACATGTAATATTATATTAGTTTCAGGTGTACAACATAGTGACTAGACATTTATATAACTTATGAAATGATCACCCTGATAAGTCTAGTACCCACCTGATGCCATACATAGTTATTACAATATTATTGACTATATTTCTTGTGCTGTACTTTACATTCCCATGACTGTTTTTATAACTGGCAATTTGTACTTCTTAATTCCTCTCACCTTTTTCACCCAGTCCTTTTTTCACCCAATCCCGCTCCCATCTGGTAATCATCAATTTGTTCTCTGTGTTTATGAGTTTGTTTCTGTTTTGTTTGTTCATTTATTTTGTTATTCCACATATACACGAAATTATATGGTATTTGTCTTTCTCTGTCTGATTTATTTCACTTAGCATAATACCCTCTAGGCCTATCCATAGTGTCACAAATGGCAAGCTTTCATTCTTTTTATAGCTAAGTAATATTCCATCGTATAAATATACCACATCTTCTTTATCCATTCTAGACTAACATCTTAAAAGATTGCTTTCTGATGCCATGCTTCTGCTCAAAATCTACCAATGGATTCTCAGGCTTATAGGATAAAAGTCAATGTGCTTAGCCTGGCATTTAAACCCTGCTATACCTGTGAATGAACAAAAGAATGATCATTTGTTGAGGCTCCTGTAGTAGGCACTTGCATTTACATTAGCTCATTCAATTCTCACAACAGTCATGTGAAACAAGAATCATTAGCCCTGTTTTATAGATGGAAGGGACTTGGGCCCATCAAAAATCAAATGATCAAACAGAGAGAGCCCATATCCAATAAATACCTGAGCCAAGAATTTTCTACTTTCTTCCGCTTCACCACACTGCCTTTCCCCCACCCAAATACATACAACTCCACTTCTTCCTGACAAGAATTTTTTGCTTCTTTTCATGCCTTGTTTACTCTACTTAGAAAGATTTTGCTTCTCCTTTGACTGTTCAAATCTTCCCTGTCTTTCAAGATAGCCCAAGTTCTAGCTCCTCCATGATGTTACCTTTAACTACTCGAGTTCCTGAATTCCCATTGAACTTAAAGTCTGGATTATGAGTTGCCTGAAACAACTCTCTATGGGTTCAGATGTAGAACTCTACAAAGACGGGACCCAAAAGTTATGTAGCTACTATGTCCCTTGTGGAACCCAGCACAACATTAGGAGCAAAATAGATATTGGACTTGAACATAATTGCACTACATTGCACTGAATTAATTTGAATTGAATAATGTAAGGAAATCATCATGGAAGAGAAGATTGGGGAGTTGGATTTCAGAATCCCAGATTTTCATTATGTTAAATCCCAAAACTTATTAAAAGGCAATTATAACAATAATAGAATGGGGTGCTTTCACAAATTGCTTTATCCATATTGTCTTGCTGATTACACTTTTGAATTATTTGTGGCCCTCAGAGCAAAATCGGTGTGACTTTTATGGTTGTGTAAACGATATGCAAGATAACTGTACCAATGGTTTCCTATGTCAATGCAAGAACGGGCTGGAAAGACCAAACCCACAGACCCCTGTGTGTCTTGGTAAGTATTCCACCTGCTTCTAAATGTTCTTCAACACTCCTACTCTCTCTCCTTTCACCTTTGCAAAATACAAACTTTACTGCTCAAGTGTCCATATGCATTTCAGAGTCTGAGGTATATGAATTTTGACTTTAGACATATGGACCTGAAGTGTGGTCTTGGCTGTGAACTAGTAAGGCAGCCCATGTGCAGCTTCACTGGGGGGCATGTCGTGTGTACAGCCAATGAGCACCTCGTTTTACCTGGAAAAAGAATTGTGAAAAAAATTGTATTCTGTGATATGCAAGGTCGGACAATTAAGTTTGCAAACTCATCCTAGAAAAAGTGCTACATACCTCATTGTCAAATATCACTACGGTCACCTTTGAAGTACTCCCCTTGGGAAGCTATGCACCGATGCCAGTGTCTAGTCCACCCTTCAAAGCAATTTTGAAACTTTTTCTGGAATGGCCACCAGGGCTGTTGTTGTATTACCCTTGATGTCCTGAATGTCATCAAAATGTATTCCTTTCAGTATTTCCTTTATCTTTGGGTAAAGAAAGAAGTCATTGGGGGTCAGATCAGGTGAGTAGGGAGGGTATTCCAATACAGTTGTTTGTTTGTTTACTAAAAACTCCCTGGCTAAAAACTGGCTAAAAACTCCCTCACAGACAGTGCCGTGTGAGCTGGTGCATTGTCGTGATGCAAGAGCCATGAATTGGTGAAGAGTTCAGGTCGTCTAACTTTTTCATGCAGCCTTTTCAGCACTTCCAAATAGTAAAC